ATTTGATATACATAACTCTTTTGGGCGTACCGACCTTCCTTCATTTGAATATCGTCACACTAAAATGAGATCGGAAAATTACGCTTATAAAGCTAAAGTACCTGCCTTAAGAGCTTTCAGATTTGAAATTATTGTAGACAAAGTAAAATTTTAGTTTAGTTTAGTTGAATAGAAGTTTCGGTTGACACTTTTCAGTCCCCATCAAACAATTCGGTTTGTTTCCAACATTTTGCGCTTTTCAGTGTTGTTGTTGGGTATTTAATTCTGTACTTACGGTACTTACTGGGCAACTCTTTAGCTTCATTTATAGATGTCGTGGAAGGTAACTGAGACAATGAGGATATTTGAGCGAGCAAACTGTTTATTGTTTGCTGTGGTGATTTGATTATGAAGTGTTTGTGCTTGATAAGTTCCTTCAGGATAACTACATCTTTAACACTTACCTCAGCATCAATGAAATCGTCCACACTGCAGAAGGTGGTATCCTCGTATTCATCGAATTCTCCATGTTTTGGTTTCATTGTTTCATCGATCAAACTTATACCATCACAGCAAATTACTATTTTGTCATCTAGTTTTTGCATATTTTTTATATACTTTATGCATCCTGCGTGTATAAGGGTTTTACAATTTACACACTGCAAACCACTCTTCGCAATAGAACCGCACCTTTTGCAATCTTTAATCTCGTTGTAAACACTCTGCTTCTCACTTGACGCCATCTAATGTTCTCTCTATTTGTCATTGATACTCCTTTGCAGCAACGATCTTTGAGATTTGTATTTTTGTAATTGTATTTGGCAAATAAATATTATTATTTTCATTATTATTATCACAATGTATCTATGGAAATTTAAGTGTTCCACAACTCTATCACGCAAACCTGACCAAATGGACTATGACTGGCCGTATATCATCTGGATTCAAATTTCCCCCAGCCCAGATTGTCATCAGATTCAGTAGAAAAATCACCGCAAAAAACTTCCCGCTCCATAAAAAATGAAAAAAGGAAATCAATGGAGCATAATCGTTCGTTGGGGTCAAGAAGCTGCAAAGCGAGAATCTCCCGATGCTATCCATTGCGTTCCTATCATAACCTCAACTCTACATTGGCGTGTCTTTTCTTCACACCATTCGCGGGATATAATGGTATAGTGCAGTCGTTGTAATGCCAACGATCTGGTAACCCAGAAGCTACAATCGCGCATAAATTCACCAGTGCAATTTTCAGCCTCCGACATACTCGTAAGCGATCGGCTACGGTATACTTTGCCTAAATAAAACCCCCACTTCGGCAGCCCCTCAGTCCCCCTTTTTGAAATTTGGAGTGCTGAATATTGTATCAAAAAAAACTTAAACACCTCAGCTTTTATCTTATTTGTTACTTTTTCGAATTTTAATTTTTGCTCATACAGGGTGGTCAAAAACGCAAATTGTAGTTTTTCAAAAAAAATTCAAATGCATCACCCTGTATATTTGTGCAAGTTTCGATTCAATTTCTTATAAGATTTTTTTGGTACTAGACACATACGGGTTTTTACGGCTATTTTTTCGGCTATTAGCAACGTCTTTTATGGAACGGCTTAATCCCCTAAGATATCGCATCATCCTTGGAAACAAATAAATTGTTGATTAGTTACAAACTATCAAAATTACCTTTGTGAGCATTATAATTAAAACGTGTTTGAAAATTGATTATTCTAAACAAGAAATGCTGAATATGGTGTTCGTTTTGCCCAAAGAAATAGTTTGCTATCATCTCGTATTTATAAGCAACGGTACCCTTATATGCGACATCCAAGGTCGGAAACATTTTCCACACTACGAGAACATTTTGAATCAAGTGGAAAAAATGTATAAATAATCCAAGTGTCACCAATGAGGCAAATCAGTTGGAGGTTCTGTTGAACTTGCAGGAAAATCCACATTTAAGGGCACGGCAAATTGGAGCAGAAACTGATATATGCAGAACTTCTATCCAAAAGATTATTTACAAGCATAGGTACCATCCATATCACCTATGCTTACATCAAGACCTTCGTCCTCAGGATTTCGTAGCTCGAATGGAGTTTAGTAGAATATTGCTAAATACAGTGAGTGAAGCTACTTTCCTGGATAAGGCAGATAGATTTCCAAAATAAATGGAGCTTGAATGTTTGCGTAGGAGTAATTGGCAGACAAGTTATCGGGCCTTCCTTTTTCGACAACAGATTAACGGGTTCAGAATACTTGCATTTTTTGATCGAGCATTTCCCTTTGCCTTTGGAGGATGTCAACCTGCACACTCGGATGATTATGTACTTCCAACATGACGGCGCACCTGCGCATTATCATAATCGTGTGCGTAACTATTTGGACACCTGGAGTAACGATCGTTGGATCGGTCGTGATGGGCCTATATCTTGGCCTCCTAGATCACCAGATATGACACCGATGGACTTCTTTATATGGGGCTACGTTAAGTAAGAGGTTTATAGATATCCACCATCTACTCCGGAAAATATGACGGAAAGGATTAGGGATGCTTTTCTGAGCATAGGGGAACGCATGCTGAGGGATGTGCAACGGTCATTCGTCGAAAGACTACGGCTGTGTATTCAACATGGTGGAGATATTTTCGAGCAGTTTTTGTAGATTATGTCTTGCGTAGTGATAGTTGTTTGTTTATGTTGTTGTTACAATACTTTTTCTCTACTAAGCTTGAAGCTGATTTATACTGTTCTGATTGTTATTAGTTTTTACGTCAAATATGTACTCTTAGTGGCAATATGGAACTAGCCCACTGTTTGTCTTTTGTTTTCATGGATGATGTGATTTTTTCCTTAATTTTGGTGTGTTGTTCTATTAAAAGCTTAATAACTCAAAATCTAGTGATTTTATCTGAATCAAACCTTATGCCTAAAAAAGCTTATAAAAAATTGAATCCCAACTTGCACCAATATACAGGGTGATGCATTTGAATTTTTTCAAACAAGTACAATTCGCGTTTTTGACCACCCTGTATGAGCAAAAATGGAAATTCGGAAAAGTAACAAATAAGATAAAAGCTGAGCTGAGTAGCTTTTTTTGATACAAAATTCAGCACTCCAAATATCAAAATGACGGATTGAGAGGTTGCCGAAGTGGACGATTTTTCTGGACAGAACACCTTACATCTCAGAAGCTAATTACCAAAACCCCATTTTATATTATATCAATCTTCTTCTTTTGAATTCGTTTATTTAAATATGCAATGAAATTTGAGGCATTCCATTTAAGAAAATCACAACTTTGATATGTAGGTCAAAATTGGAACTCCCTGTATGATTGCCAATATTTTAGAAATGTGCCCTCAAATGTCATCTATAACATGCCATATATAGATTTTCCCAAATTATATTTGTTTATGAGTAATATTCCGTCCACGCATGGATGGGCCACCCTGTATAGCAGACTAGATCAGAACAGGTCAAGCCAAGGCAACATCATATTATCATTAATTTGTATGGATGTAGTATTTGAAAGTCAGAGATTACTTATTTTAAATAAGGAAATAGGTTTATGAAAGGATGGACTCCCTACGGGCGGAAGTAATGTAATTTTCTGAATGCATGAGACATACAGCAATAAGAATATATGACGCAAATTGAGATGTGCTTGCTAATTAAACATGTCGTCATTTGGCCTCAATTGTGTCAGTATTACATTTGAACATTTTCCAGAAAGCTCTCCGTGATATATTTGAATAGACTGATAGCTTATGTGGGTGCAGACGCGCGCGTAATTATCTCCATGGAAAATTACTATGTTCTTTTTTTATGACGCTATCAATTTAGTTGCTTGTAGCCAAAAACTGTTAAGATTTCAAACTTCTTCACACTCAAGTTGAACCATGCGGCTCAGGAACATTTTACCTATACAGAAATTTTAGGCATTCCTAGCGATATAGGCATGCCTGGTTCCTTAATTTTCGACCAACCTATATTTCCACTATAACCAGAAAGAAGAAAAACGTCAATTAATAATTTTTTACATTTTTCGGTTGTTGAACCCCATGAACTTTTGTACTACGTCAAAAAATAGTCAGCAACTACGAAAACATTCAAGATATTAAGTTTGTTATGTTCTCAGTTTTCCCAGTTCACTAGGCCCTGTGCCTTTATTGGTGAAAACAGTTAATATGTTCTATCATTGACAAAGCAGTACCTCTGAATCAAAATTTTATTAGAATCCAAGCAGCAACTATAGCAATAGATGGCCTCTTAGCTTCTCTTCGCTGGAATTATTTTTAGCGCCTTTATTTGGTCTCAAAACGGTCATCCACATACAGAAACTGTTTGACTCATAATTTTTAGCAGGTACTTGAACGAAGGACAACGGACAACGGAGCTAACAGCGCTGACAACAAAGTCAGACCCTTCACCGCTCTGTATAATCGCTGCTTCTGGCTGAAACGTACGCGTCGATAGCTCGGGTTATATTGGTGCTAGATGCACTGGAATATATGCTGCCGTATCTGGGCGTGAAATTCACTAGGCTGACAAATATTAGTCAGAGTGATTTTACTGGCCCTGCACTGTAGTAGAACAATGTATGGGTCTGCTCATATTCTTCTAAAATCTATGACGAGCGTTTTATCGCCTTGAGCCTATTGGTAGCGTCAGTTTTTCTGCTCTTTGGATGTTGCTGTCGTATTATTTTGACATCGCTTTCACCAACTGGCGAACAAACATTTAAGGCATCAATACACACAGTAAATTTACAGGTCTTTTGACGATTTATGGCGGCTCACAGTGAAACTATAAGAATTATATCCACACATCTATGTCTCCCACACATACATTCGCAATCGGCCTCTATGCATGGACGTTTGTTCGTATAAGCCCATGGACACAAGTTTTATAATTTTGTCTCAGCGCCTTAAAATGTTTTCGTTTACATACACCTATTTATGAGAATTCCGCATTTGTGCTTGTCACTGTTAGTATGACAACTTGTTTGGCATGGGCGTGTGTTTTGTGGCAACCTTATGTTGATCTTCACTATAAGTCGATGTTGAATTTATTGGAGTATTGAGTAAGTGATTGAAAATAATGATCCTCTATCACCCTATTAATGTGTATGTATGCAAGCAGCTGTATCAAAGATAGTTTTGCGCAGTGTGCAATTTCTGTTCTAGAAGCTAAGCTCCGTACATAGCACAGTTAGTTAATCTGTAGACTTCTTTCGCATAGCACTGTAACCTAACCGCCAAAACGCGTGAAAGGAACTATAGTTAGTTAGATTAACTTGGCCCACATATCCCTCAATCTTTCACCCACTGAGACGTGTCTCAGAGCGCAAGACATTCTGGAGTCCCAACAAATTTTGATTTTTTTCAACGCTTGTATTTTTCTGAAATTTTGACCTAACCCTAAGAGACATATATACAAAAAATTGTGGTAGTAAATTCATTACCACTGGATGTTCTTTTGTCTCTGTCACTTAGTACGTATTGAATTTGAAGGAAAATGTTACTTCTGTAGGCATAATCATATACTAAGTGACATATAAATCCGAACACCCAGTTTAAATGGTTTTATTTTAATAAAAGTTGGTGAATGTATTTATCTTACTGTAAATAACAAGTGAAAAAATTTTCAGCCTTATCAGTTAGACATTCCGGTTTTTATACTGCTTTTTTTTAATTCACTAACGCTCTAAAAATGAATATTTCAGCCGCAGTAAAGAATCAACGTTGGCGGATTTTGGTTCTTGACATCCTTTACGATCGGTTACGATGCCTAGAGTACGGAGACGTGTACGATTTCGTCAACTTAGCGAATTTGATAGGGGCCGTATAGTGGGACTTCGGGAAGCTGGACTTTCTTTTCGGGCAATTGCAGTTAGAGTGCAAAGAAGAGCAAGGGGCACTGGACGCCGCCGTAGAACAACAGACCGTGAAGATCGCCGCCTAAGATTCTTGGCCTTAAGGGACCGTTTCTCCACTACCAGGTCCATTGCAACTGAATGGTTTGCAGAACACGGAAGACCTATTGGCATGCGAAGTATTTACCGACGAATGAGAAGTTTTGGCTTGTTTTCATACCGGCCACACTGGGTCCTCCCTTTAACTCGAGAACACCGACGTAATCGCCTTGAGTGGTGCAGACAACGGTCACTCTGGGATCAGGAATGGAACAGTATTGTCTTTAGTGACGAGTCTCGATTTTGTTTAGGCATGCACGATGGTTGTGCCAGGGTTAGAAGGCGACGTGGTGAAAGGAGGAATCCACAGTTTTTTGTTTAAAGACATGTTCATCACACTGTTGGAGTTATGGTTTGGGGTGCTATAGCTTATGGTTCCAGGTCAACTTTAATCTTCATCAGAGGTAACATGAACGCGCAGCGTTATATCCACGAAGTTCTAGAACCCCATCTTTCACCCTATCTTGACACCCTGGCAGATCCAACTTTCCAACAAGATAATGCCCGACCACATGTTGCAAGAGTCACAATAGACTTCTTTCAACATAATGATGTCACATTGTTACCATGGCCACCAAGATCTCCCGACTTATCCCCAATTGAGCACGTGTGGGATATGATGGGTAGGAGATTGCTCAATTTGCAATGTCCTCCTCAGACTCTAGAAGCACTTCGAGAGGAGTTGGTGGTTGCCTGGAATGAGGTACCGCAGGAGGACATTGACCACCTGCTCAGAAGCATGCTTAGGCGCGTTGGAGAATGCGTAGCACATCAGGGTGCATCCACACATTATTAAAGGTCAAAGGGCTTTAAAGCAGTGCAATCATTTTGAAATTTTTATCATTTACTTATTATGCTTCATTAAGTACTTATACAAAATTTTATTAAAATAAAACCATTTAAACTGGGTGTTCGGATTTATATGTCACTTAGTATATTTTGGTTCGCACTAAGATTACCGGACTAACATTACGACAAGACAAAGACGGTTGGAGTTACGAGGCATTTTGAGGGGGATGAAAATACCTTGCGGTGTACGAGTTAGCTAAGAATGGCCGTCAGAAAGCCGCGTAGATGACATTCCCGTGTCTGCGCGCAGCATCGTCACGTAGCTTTTCACATCACCTCAATGGAATTGAAAGAGTCACCCAAACTTTGGACAGGTTATAAGTTTTTAAAATTCTGTGAAACGTTTAAACTTGCTGGCTGTGTACGTTTATTGGTTTTAGAAGAAACATTTCAAAAAATGATAAACGTCGTAAAAAATATGTACCACATTTTGCTCTACGGTATTGGCATTTTCTTAACTGCATTATGTGAGGTAGCAGAGTGGTGACCTATGGACAAACATGGTAGCGTGACGCAGGTCGAATTCGCTGATATAAAGTCTTTCTGCATAACAAATTGTCCACAGAAGCAAATTCACAACGGGAGAGTACCAATTACTTCAATAAACAATCTCTGCGTTCCAGTATTAATTAACGTATTCTACCTGAAGATAGCCAACCTGAGACTGTCCTTTGTAAGTATTTGTCACAGCTATGTTTCTTCTCTCCGCAATTGAGACTAATTGCACTGTAACTATACAAGGTTTGTCCGGAAAGTAATGAGCTCTATTTTTTATTTCATCATTTATTGATCATTTGAGTAAATAAACTCAATATTCTTCGAAGTAGCACCCTCCTGCATCGATACACTTTTGCCAGCGTGATTTCCAAGCCGCGTATGCTCCCTGGAACTCCTCGACTGAGATGCTGTTCAGGGAGGCCGTCGAAGTAGCTTCAATGTTCTCTAGGGTGTCCAGATGCTGTCCCTTGAGGCCCCTTTTTAGTCGAGGAAACAAAAAGAAGTCCGCTGGAGCCAGATCGGGAGTGTACGGTGGCTGGGGCACCGTCGTGACACCGATCCGAGTCAAGTAGGCGACGGTAACAAAGGCGGTATGGGACGGTGCGTTGTCGTGGTGGAGTTTCCATGAAGATCGAATTTCTCTTCGAACGCGGGCAACCCTGTGTTTCAGTCTTTGAAGAACTTCTTTGTAAAATTGAGCATTGACGGTCTGGCCAGGGAGTACAAACTCGTGGTGCACGATTCCCTTAGCATCGAAGAAGACAATGGCCATGGATTTGATCTTGGACTTGCTCATTCGAGCTTTCTTCGGGCGTGGCGACGCGGACGTGTGCCATTCTGCGCTCTGCCGCTTTGTCTCTGGGTCGTACTCGAAAATCCATGTCTCATCTCCCGTTATTACATTGTCTAGAAAATTTGGATCATCCGCACACAACTGTTTCAGTTCCTCACACACAGCGACACGATGGAGTTTTTGAACGTCGGTCAAAACTCTGGGCACAAGTTTTGCACAAATTTTGCGCATGGCTAAGTCTTCCGACACAATTTCGTGAACAGTGGTCTTTGGCAAGTGCAAAAGGTCAGCAATCAAGCGGACACACAGTCGACGGTCTGTGCTGAGAATTCTCGCACACGGGTCACATTGTCATCTGTTCGTGATGTCGATGGACGTCCTGAACGCATTTCGTCATCGACCTCCTCTCGCCCTTCCGGAACGACTTGTGCCACTTTTTTATTTGTGAATATGACAGGCAGGCATCCCCAAATGCTGTTTGAAGCAAATCCAATGTCTCCTTCGGTGTTTTGTTTAGTTTCACACAAAACTTTATCGCGTATCTTTGCTCTAAAGTTTTTTCCATCGTAACTTCGACGATGTCGCAAAACAAGTGCTAACAAAAATCAGCGTACACACTCTCCAAGAGGTCGGAGGTAACTGGCAAGTGTACCACTGTAAAGCTGGAGGTTCCCCCCACCCATCCCAACTGGTCGCATTGCGCTACGTTGCCAAGCTGCGTCACAAATAAATGAAGCTCATTACTTTCCGGACACACCATGTATATCTCATATCGACTACAGCGCCATCTATGAGACACTAACCTTTTCAAAGTAGATTTCTAATTATTGCGGGGAGGTGAAACAGCTGTGACAAATCCTTGTAGGTGACGCTAGGAAATCTCATTACATCTCGGATAATTTTTGGGACGCAAAAATATAGTATTAGGCTGAATACGATGATCAATGCTACCAGATACCTTAGAATAGAGACAGTCCTATGTAAATGACTGCGCGAAACTGTCAATGAGTCATTGTCTAGGCTAGGTGAAACAATAGACTGATAACAAGGGCGGTTGACACTAAGATTTTTGTTCATTCGTGTAATCCATAAGTAGGGCGTACAAGGGGCCCAACAAGACCTGGTCGAATACACTTCTTCTTCTTCAGACAGGTCACATAAATATACATTATACATCCCTAAAACTTAGAGCGTCGCTACACGTGTATGGAAGCCTCAAAGGCTATTAATCATGCACAGGTAGGTATAGGTCCAGCCCCTTTTCAGGGTGTTTAATAAGATTACCCGAGCTATTAAAGTTTAACAGAGTTTTTTCACTAATTTAATTAACCCCGCAGGCGGATAAGTTGTACCTTTAAATTAATTAATGTACCCTCGCTGTCATTGTTTCACGGCTCGACGGACAACGACTATTAGTCAAAGTTTTGCGGGCAATTTAAACGAAAAAAGTTACCGTCAAGAGGCAGTGTTTGAAGCAACGCGACAGCGAAGGGTGCTCCGGATAGAAATTGGTTCATCCTCCACTCATGGGATAACATGAGGTCTGTAAAGTGATGAGGCTGATTTTTTTTAATTTTTTTCTATTTAAATATAATTACAATTTTTTACCGTCACTCAAAAATAACTTCCTTTTCAAGCCACAAGTGCTGGAGATGGTTATTCCACTTCCGATACTGTAATAGCCTTCAGCCGTTTGAATGTTTTCGACTGTCTTTGAGGTAATTTTTTAACTTCTGGAAGAGAAAAAAGTCACAAGAACTCAATTCAGGTGAATAAGGAGGCTGATGAGTCACATGAATGTTTTTCTTGCCCAAAAACCCGTTTACTGACATTGCTGTGTGACAAGGAGCAACACAAAGTTGTTCTTGATCTAATGAACGGTGGTATTAGTCAAATTCAACTCTTCCCCGATCATTCTGTCGACCGACGATCTGAACGCGCAAGATCCCAGATTCTGTCGATACTTTGATCGGTTCTTAAAGGCCTTCCTCTCCGTGGTTCTCCCTTCTGAAAATGCCTTAAACCACCAAAAAAGCCGCGGCTCTATCTACTGCAAGGGTTTTCATTCATTCATTTTTAGAACACAACAGGAACCATTGTATCACAAAAAAAATCGCTACCGACAACAAAATGACTCGAGCGAGTTCAAACTTGTACTAAAGGCGGACCACATGTTCCCCTGTCCCCCCTCCAAGCCCGGTGCCTCGAGTGTTGCCAGATCGAACGCTACGCTGTCAGTCTCATCACATAATTTAGAGCGCTCATAAATAAAATAAATTTTGTTGTCGCGAAATGTAGACAGAGCTACCAGTGATTTTAAACACGACAATGCAACTTGTATAAATAATACGACTAGCGCCTGTTCTTGAAACTGATTTTGTCTATATGTAGACACTAGTCCAGGATATTGAGTATAGCCCGGTTATCAAGATAAATGGAAAATGAATATCCACCAGTAAGGCCTTAAGATGATCATTGCGACACTGTTACCTGCCAGGTCGCATACGTTACAGGAACTTGAAAGGTCCGAAAACTGACTATTGCTCATGCAACTCTATCGAAAGGAGATGTCCTACATACATGTTCCATGTCAAACTCCACTTGAGCATATTTAAAGGAGAACGAGTTGAAGTTTGTTTCCAGCCGATTGTACATCAAATTTTAAAACTAATTTCTATACAAAATGAGCAGTCTGACAAGAAATTTTTCAAGAGAAGTACCTTATCAAAAATGGAAGAGCTCGTTCAAAAGAGTCAGTATCTTAGAAAATAATGTTTTCCAACTTCCACGTCATTGGTGAAGCGTCGGGCATGAACATTTTGAGGATATGCTGTTAGTAAATCATATCTTCCTCCACTCCGAAAATATAATTTCATTAGATTTCGAAATTATAACTTCAATACCCTGTGCATCGATAAGGAGGATCTTAGGATACATGTTTATATAAACTTTTGTATTATTTTTCGATCTACCTACTGTATAACCTTGAAATATTGCCGCTGTTAACCAAATCGATCTGAGTATGATAGAAAACAGTTTCTCAGACCACAACGCGGTTATACCTATTGATTTTCACCTTGAAAGTCTATCTGGCTATTGTGATACTCACCGACGATAAGTGGAGATATAAATATCTGTTTTCAAAACTTCCACTTCAGGTAACGCATTGGGATGTTATTGTTGTGGTATTTAACGCTCTCGCCATCATTCATATTTGGAAAACCAAAGAAACGTTTGTTATCGTAGAAATGCATAACACAGCTAAGCCAGAATATACATAAATGCGCCTGGAGAGTATAATTCTCCAGCGGCGACCATGAATCTGTCGTCGAACAATTTGTGTTTTTGTGATTTTAAATTATAATTTGTTCGCCAGGGTCCGCCAATGATGTTTTTGTAAGGTATTGAAGAAGGCTATTTTTTAAGTTAAAAATAAATGAGGTTGCGAACTATCTTTAGGATGCCTGCTGAACCTACAAGAAGATCTATAATTATAGGCATTCAGAGAAAGACAACCAGTTTCGTAAATATGCTGATGTGAGGCCGGTGGTATTTGCATTAAGTTGCACCACTGGTTAAAATGTTATTCTTTCCACCGTGGTAGCCACTTTACCCTGCCTGTCATCTCTGAAAAATAAACGAACGATGAATGAACGACTATATATTGTCAGTGGTTCTCCCTGATGAATTGGAGCCGAGGTTGAAACACAGTTTTCGAGCACTACAAAACTCGAGCAATGTTCTGAATTTTGTGTCATTGATTAACGTATTCTAGATAAAAATAGCGTTCAAAAAAGGATCTGAAAGACACTAGCGTTAGCTCCGAGACAGTGGCAGAAATAACTAATAAATTCAGAAACCTACTTTTTAAATAGCTAGGGCTTGCTTGGCCTCTCTAGTGCGAATTTTCCGGTGGAATACGTTAATTAATGCTTGGCGATACCCAACAAAAGTAGACATTACAGAAGCCAAGAGATGATTGACCTTCTTCCCTGTATTATCAGTCCTATCCACAGCTTTACGACAGACCTGAAAGTTATCACTGCTTGGGGACACAACACTCTGGTCAACTGCAGTCAAATGCAGTACTTACTGTATCTGGAAGCGTTCTATTGTTCATCCGGTTTCGATTTATGCCCCTCTCTAGTGGGTAGTTCCGGGGCCCTTTCACACCGATGGGCCGTTGGCGATCTAGCTCTCTTCTACCGTTGAGTTACCGGACTTTGCCTTACAGAGCTCTCCTCCAAGATGTGGCCCACGTACACCCAGAATCATCCAGAACTGGCCAATACGACCGCTCTTTTGTCCCTAGGGTATCTAGATTGTGGAACAGTCTGCCTCAGGAGGCTTTTTCTAGTTCTACTAAACTTAGGCAGTTCAAAAATCGGATTAACGAAATTTCTAAGCTCGACATAGCTAACGCGTTACCCTGGTATTTGGGCTCCTGCCTACGCAGCTGCTTCGGTATGAAAAAAGAATATGCTGGCACCATCTATGGGTCAGTAGCATAATTAAACCCTAACACTGTTCAAGGGAAATGTTTATATTCGTTTGTTTCGAACTGTATCGAGGTTTTTCTTGGGGTGTAGCTGCTTGTGTCTTTTTTGTGTATGTTTGTGCAACACTCTAGTAAGCAGCTCATTTCTGGAAACCTTATACCGCAAAGGCAATAGTTTTTTTCCTTTCAGTGTGTATCTGATAGGCAATAACCATTTTTTTCTTGTTGCAGTTATTACGCTTCGACTGCAGCCGGATTTCCGGTCGGACCGGCACGGCTGGTTCCGCCAATCAAGCGGCAGCGGCTCATGAGCACTGCCCGGAATGGAAAGAACAATCAATCGCAGAAGTCCACGACAGTCCCACCGCCCCTCGATCAACTCAAAGTGTACAGTAAGTCAAATATTTTTTTCTCGTTTTTGTAACTGCGAAGGGGACCTAATCCGATATATCCGATGATACGGAGCCATTCTAGTAGCATTTTGAAAAGCTTCACGGAATTAGTTGTATGTTTATCGAGCATTACATAGTATTGCAGACACTCTCACTGATGAACGACTTATGTTGAAAAACACTATCTTGATTCAACATACGTGATTATGCTGCACCTAAAACAAATAAATCGAATTTAAAAATTGTGTGGTCCCATACGTATAGTAATAGTGATTTAGTATTTTCCGTGGTTATTAAGCGGTGACCTTGAGCATGAAGTTCAACGTCAAATCATGGTTTTGATGCTGGAAAAGGATAGAGCTGAAAATTTTACGTTCAGGCGTGGGTCAAAATTGTTTTTAGCATGATCATTCTGGTCAAGATAATCGCCCGCCCCCAGACTATCCACTGATAATAATAATAGTCATAATTAACGTCTTTTATTTGTAATATTCCTACAGGAGGCGAGATTTGGATAATATTAACAATACGAGATGCAAAAAAAACAGAATTTGTTGAAAATTAATACCTGTATACAATAACGACAGAATAAAGTATAATCTAAGTTAAGGTGTAAGGAAATTATGAGGCCACTTATGGGTTACAACAGATTTCGTTGCTGATAAAGTAGAACTTTTTTTCTTGAATTTGGGTAATGGGTTGGTTTCTTTTAAACTGCGGTCTAAAGAATTGTATTATTTGATCGCATTGTAAATATATGTATTCTCAAATAGAGATGTGTGTTTTTGAATAAAGAACCTTATGAGTCAGATATACTTATACATTTTATCAATTTTCATCCATTTGAGTTCATTAATGATATTCGATATATGATCATACTTTCTGAGACCTTTTACAAGTCTGCAACATGTATTCATGATACTTTGAATACGATTTCTTGTTATAATATCTAAATAGGGATAGTAAACCACTAAGCAATACGATATCCTTGAAAACAAGAAAGATCCACACAATTTCTTTCTCGCAGATTTATGTAATATAGCCTTATTTGCAAATAAAGGCCTTAGAATAGCGTAGCACTGAGAAATTAGATAGTTTACGTGTACAACAAATATTAAGTCATCATCCATTATAATACCTAGGTTCTTACAATGATCCACAAAAACTAATTTATTACCTTTTAAATATATGTGTATGTCCGTTTTTAAAGAATTCTTTTTTGTTCTATTTGCCAAAGGGTTCAAACGAAGATTATGACTACTACTGAACTTTACAATTTGGGCAAGATCTTGATTAATTTTATTATTTGCGGTTTCCAAGTCATTACTCCCAAATGAATATAAAATTTGATTGTCGTCTGCAAAAAATTGTATGCTGCATGATTTTACATCTGTTTCTAAATCTGAGATATATAATGAAAATAATAGGGGTCCTAATACTGATCCCTGTGGTACACCAGAACAATTTTTTTGTTCACTAGGGTACTGTTGCTTTAGACGAACTTTTTGATACCGATTTTCAAGGTAGGTTTGAATGAACGAAAGAGGTTTTCCAGAAAATCCATAACAACTGCATTTAGATACGAGAAGTGAGTGATGAATGGTGTCAAATGCTTTAGTAAAGTCAGGAAGTATGATAGCTACTGCTTTTGGTTATCATGTGCCATTGTTATATTGTCTGTTAAATCACAGAGTGTCGAAGCTGTATTATGACCTTGTCGAAATCCAGATTGTTTAGATGTAATAATTGTGTTAGAATATACGTAGGCGCAGAGCTGCTCGTAAACAACGCGTTCCAATACTTCAGACAAAAATTGGCAGTAGACTGATCGGTCTCAGTTGACCACAGCTAGTAATATCAGAACACTTAGGTAGCGGAACAACTATATCGCGTTTCCACTGATTGGGGAGATATCCTCTCTTTCAGCAGCAGTTGATAATATGTGTTAAGAACACACCAATTTCAGGTACACATAGTAGTATCATATACAAGGTTATTCCTGAGGGCCTTGAAACGAAGCTCTACCACCTGCTTGAGGTTCAAATCAATACCGAGGCATCTTTTTAATAGTTCTCTATGATTTTGCCCGATAATAGGACGGAAAATGTTTAGCTGTCACTTTGGGTGAACACTAACGTGATCCTGATCGTCCTTATCAAAACCTTGAGCATAACCTTCATGGTCAAGTGAAGATGTAGTGAATTTTTTGAATGCTTCTTTATACGTTAGATGCTCGATACATATAGGGCGGAATACCTTACTTTTAGACATGATCCAGATCGGAGACGGGCAAGGTCAAAATAATTTCGACACACTGTCAGATATAAATGTGGAATTTCTCCCACTGTCATTTGCGAGGCACTGAAAAATTATTTGACATTAAAGGTCATTGTCAAGGTCCAATTCAAAGTCACCGCTGAATAGTCGTTTAAAAATCAAGAACCACTGCTTTTTTACTTTTACCGTACTGTCTGAATATTTCCAAATGTATTGCCGTTGCCTGACTTTTAGATTACCCTGTAGAGCTTCATCACAGACAAGTAGTTCTTAGCATACTGAGCTTAATAGTTTCTATTTGGCCCAGCATGCCAAGACCATGTACAAACACAAGGATAGCGGGCAATTTTTTATGAATTTTGGTGTCGTTTCCTTGTCGCAGCCAGTGTTAATACCTTGTTCTTACAAGGGTCATTAAATGATCCGTAGAAGTTTCCGGTCACGCTTCCGAATTACTGGATACCGAAGTTGGATGAAGCTCGAGAGTTGGGACTGCAACAATTTTAAAATCAAGGTCGTGAGATCAGGAATGGATGGATGGTATCTTTCATGTCCTTCCATATCATAGGTGGTCTCGAAAAATTTAAAAATTGGTTCCGATTCCTATAGGATAAAGCTGAAAAAAATCAGGATTTTACAAAAGAAAGCAGACACAAAATGACACTAATCACTAAACGCTACGTTCACAATGCATGGTGAGGCTCATGTCGTTGCTCTTGATATCACGAAAGCTTCCCATCAGCTATGGCATGCTGCTACCAGAGAAGCTTTGCTGGTGAATGGCTGACTTTCTCTCTGGCCACAAGACTTCCTCTTCATCCCAAAATGTCAACGCGTTATCTGCTTGGGACTCATCAATCTGGTACAGTTTAATGTTTAATGCTTCCAAAAGACAATACTGTACATCGACTAAGCACCCTAGCGCTCATCCAGTTTCGATGGATGGCCGAGCTCCATCAAGAAGCCGTTCACTTCGGCTGGTCTGAGTCCAGGTGATCAAAGAATTGACCTGGCATGAATCACGGCAACTGTTGGGTAAAAGTTAGGCTATTTATTTAGGGCTAAAACTTTTTCTCACTTAGTCTCCTCACTCTGTATAAAGCCCAGACAAGAGCTAGCCTCGAGTACTACTCACGCGTTTCTGGTGTTGCCACCCAGAATACATTATCTATGCTCGATGCTTTTCTGAGGAAGGCTGTCCGCCTCATCGATGCCAGTCTCTAATGGACGGTCTCGGAACCCCTTCGCACAGATGGTCCGTCGACGATCTAGCTCTCTTCTACCGCTGTGTCATAGGGCTTTGCGCTTCAGACTCCCTTCATAATGCCGCCGCTTTTCCCAGATCTGCTAACCTTAGGCAGTTCAAAAATCGGATTAACCAAATTTGGCTGTCCTCCTCATAGCAACCGCGGTGTACTGGTATTTAGGTTTCCGTCTATGGGGTTGCTCTGGTATAAAAAAGGCATTATTTCAGTCGAAAGGTCTGAACCCTGCTCGCCTTCAAAGAAAACTCCCGTCTGAAAGCACAACTGCATATTATTTACGGACGGCGTTATCCCAACGCCCTCTACTGGCATTTATTACAGCCAGCGACTGCAACTATGACGCCTGGGCTTTGTTCGCGCGAGAAAACCAGGCGTGTGGCGTCACAGTTCAGAACCATTTTGAATGTTTAATTCAACTGAGATTAATATATAGTGCTTATTAGGCTTGTTAGCGACGTCGGGATGAGCACTACGCCTTCAAATTGGAGTTACCGCAATTGTGGTTTGCGAAATTCGTTGCAGCTGGACGGTAAATAGTTCAAATTGAGAGGTAGCAGTGGGTCAGGCATTTATAAAGTAGGTCAGTCCCATTCATACCAGGTCAACGTAAAATAAGAGAAGATAACTACAACATAGATATTTCGAAGTAAATTTAAAACGAGCAAAAATAAGGAAGATGAAGGAAGACCTCCCGCTCAAAGCATACTGCTCCACGTTGTACAGCCAACTCACTACGCGTGCGGAAGGGTATCACTTTTTTCCTAGGAAAGTAAATATTTCGTAGCATGGAGCCAAATGTATCAAGGTGCTGTTTTTCTATTAGGACTGTGTCAGATGCGTTCGCTATTTCGAAAAAAAGATGAGTATTCCTGAAGGCTGATTAAGGTCACGAGCTGCACGGATAGGTTTATTTGGTGCAGGAGGGCATGAGGCACTCATCACAAAATTACACATTATTGACACGTGTCAAAATTTTTAGCGTTCTACGATGGTTGTTCTGAATAAGAATAAGGGGATATTCTGATAAACAGGTGGTTTGAAATGATTATCCAGTGGTAACACAACATATCTCATTGTGCGCAAAAATGAAACAGAATAGTTAGTCTAACCATATTAGACGAAAATACCCCTGGCCTGCGAAATAATTGTAAAGTCTGGTTTTATTGGGGATAGTTGTTCAAGGAGGTATTCAAAACGTGGACGTATAAAATGGGTACATCAATTTTTGTGGGAAAACTTTTTATTCAAACAAACAACAAATATTGAGAAAGCGTGTCGTCATATCAGATTTTTAGGTATTTATGAGACCTACAAAATGAGACTACACGTAGAAAGATCCGACCAACAGCAAAGAAGTTATGGCCAAAAACCTACTTGAAATTCTTCAAATTCGTAGGATTCGTACTTCTCAATAATGACCACAAAATTGGATTATGTCGGTCAAGTAGTTTTAGAGAA